CAAATGCACAATAAATATATTTGACACATCAAATGCACAATATCATGCGAAGGTGGTCCAATTTGGGTAAAATATGTCATAAATTATTTTATTTTTTCTTTGCCCAAACAATCATGGTCCAATTGAGGTAAAATATATAGGTAATCTCAAATATAGGACAAGAAACACTCGTGATAAATTATTCTATTTTTTGGGATAACAAATTAATTGAACACATTTTTTTTCTTATACTTTTTTGGGTTATTCAAATAGTGAAATTTGGTGGGTATGATAAAATTTATGACATTATTTTCTTACGATAACTGAGGAGGGTTTGGGTGAGTAAAATTCTATATAATTATAAAGTTGTATTTTCACTTATCTGATTTTGGACGCCTCAGATGTCATCACGTGTCACCTCCAACACCGTTGGATTGGTGCTGTTGAGTGACTCATTTAAATGGGGCTTCTAGGGTTTGAGCAACACACTTGGCTTTGAGATTCTTCCATTTGCTCATGTTCTCTGCGCCGTTCTTGAGAGTTCTCTCCTTTGTTTCTTACCCTTTTTGATTTCTGATTTTCTTCACTCATTCTTGTAATTTTGTGTGATTTTATTGAGTTGAGTGTTTGGTTCTTGTATGAACCGTGTTGTATTGTAAAGGGAGATCCATTTGTGTGATATAAAGGGTTTATCTGAGTGTCATCCTTTTGTAATCTTATTTTGGGGTTTGATTGTGATTCGAACGGTGGTTTGTTCATGAGATTGAAGCACTGCAGTTTGTGATTTGGCCTGAGGACTTTTATGAATAAAAGATACGTTTTAATTGCAGTTTATTTTTGCTTTTTCTTCAATTCGTTTTCTTCTTTCTTTTCAGTGTATATATATATATAATTTTTTTTGGTTGATTTCTGAGCTAATCAGTTTGATCTCCTCCCAATAGTGGTATCAGAGCGTCTGAAGGGAGTTCTTGATACTGTGCTTTTCGTGTTTTCTTGAAACCCTAATGAGGGTTTTGGTGAAATCTTTCCATTTCTTGAATTTTTTATGTGTAAATCAAGTTGTATTTTGTGTTTGAGTGTTCTGACTCGATTGGGTTTTTTTTTTACTTGATTGAGTTTTACTGTCGTATTTAGATTCTGCTTTATTTGGTTTTACTGTTCGTTTAAGTTTTCTGCTTTGGTTGAGTTTACTATCTTGTTTGGGTTCTTCTACTTATAGTTTATTCTACCTTGAGGTTTTGAAAAACCTGAACTTTTGACTTCTTGCAATTCCTTTGTCCAGAAACCAAAAGTTGTCTGGAATCTGAGGGTTACTTGGATCACAGTGAAGATTCTTGGTAATCTTGATTTCTGAAAATCATTCTGCAGTATTATATAAGCTTTATTAATCAGTGTATATAATTCTTTACCTCTGATACAATTTGTGATTGTATTGTTTTGGATAAATTGTGTACATTGTGATATAATTCTGAAGTGTCTGCTGTCTGTACTTGCAATTTGTATACTCTGTTGTGTCCCTTGAGTGGTGATACTTGTCTGATTCTGCATTGCAAGTTACTGTTTGTTGTCTGATTGATCTGTATACATCCATTTTATTCATACTTTT